GCAGAGCTATTTGCCAGCGAGAGTTGCAATTGGAGCGCATGTACTACGGGCAGGTTCGGACAACTCGTCCAACACACGTCTCCCTAAACGGCAGGGGGAGTCCCTGTCTAAGCCCCTGCCCGACGTTTTTTTCTACTTTTTCTTTCTCCATTGACCAACTTCTCACCTGCAACGTCATTATAGGTGGTCCTTACCCGCGAATTCGTTCCTGGATTGTTGCTTTAAACACTTGACTGACATCGCGCGTTTTTGTGACTTTTGGCCGCGTGGGACCACAGCGGTTCTGCGAGCGCCGCCGCCTCACGGCAAGTCGTAAATATGCAAATAGCTTTGGTGCGATGAATCTGCCAAGCTAGTTTCGACCTGATCGTTCCTGATCTGTCTAAGCTTTCACTGACGACGTAACACAGTAGTGGAAGTTTGACCAAGAAGACCGTGACAAGGCCGAGCCCGAAAGAGTGAATTTTGCTTAAACTTTCCCCTTCAAAATGATTCGCACAATATAACATTTCGGGCGTGGTTGTTTCATAAAAACACATATCTTCTCATGCGAATAGGTTTGTATTCACTTCTGTTATTCCTTTTTATCAACATGTCTACGTTATTGAAAAGAAATGAGGAATGAATTGAACAGACATATCGTAAGGTCTGGAAAATGTCTGCCAAACTAAAGAATATTTGGCCTTTCTGTGAGCCATGTGGTTTTTAAGTATGCTAATGTATGACCTATAGAATGAGTACAAAGACCTTAGGAATAAGTCGCACAAGCGCAAGAAAAAGGGATGACTTGGGTGGGACGCGTTACCGCGTCACAATGTCCCACGAGGTGCGCAAAGTGGGACGCGTTACCGCGTCACGCTGTCGTCAACGTGTTAATAGAATTATGGGGTTGAGGCAATACTGACTTAAAACACTGGTGATTGACGAAATGGAAGGTGCTCGTCAAAAAGTATGAAAATCGTATATGGCGCTGAAAATATCGATCTTGTTGGCACAACAACGGTTCTTCAATCCAAGGAAAGAAGAGAAAATCAAAAATCCTGCTTCAACTCAGACGACCGTGCACTATCTCGAAAAAGAACTTTGAAGAATAGTGATTGGATCCTTAAATGTTCAGGGTTTGTCCCTAATTGTAGGAAATGATCTTCCTATCCTTCTTGGCTTCTCGATAATGTGAATAAATGTTAATGTCGCGAAGTTTTGAGAGAAATGAAATTCATATGCAAGTTCTTAGTCACTCTGCTCTTACTCGTGGTGGCGTTTGGTAAACACGTATAATTTATACAGCAAATTGTGGAGAACAACCACCTCTAGTAAATTGTACTGACAGAAACCGATCCAATATTACAAAACACAATGAACAAGAAATTCATCAAGGGTATATTATTGATCCAATCTACGTTCCTCTTTGCAAACTCCTTACCAGAAACTTCATTCCTATTTTCGTGAACAGGCTGTCTGTGGTGGTGCCGTTACAGTAGTATTCGATTCTGAGACCAGTCGACACAGCCCAAACTCCGCCCACTTTTTTCCTCCAAAATTACCGTCGAGGGGGGGGGTATACCTACCACGAAACCGCAAACATCCTCTCACTTCCCCTCTATTTCACCCATATTTCCACTGCAACATTTCCAAGGGGGCATACAGGGGGGGGGGGGGCAAAAAAAAGAGTCACTCCATTCACATTCAAAACAGAATTAATTACACTTTGCCAAACCAAACCGAATGAGCTCAATTGCATATTGAAGAGCACATTCTATTCTATCAAAAATTACATAGGGGCTTTCTACACCGACGACATCAGAAGATTTTCCCACGGAAACATGGTTCACGGTACGAGCTCAACGAGGTCGTCGAGAAACCATAGACGATTACGACGTCTCTGAAACGCTGGTCAAAAGCCATCTTGCATAGTCAGAGCTAGTGTCTCTAAGAAGCTATTCACCAGTTATCCGATTGAAGAATTTATGTAGCAGCTTCAGAATGGAGCGATTATAGTAGGACCTCCTTGAGCTCGGACGCGATGACAGTGATGTCAGTTTCTGGAGATGAGATGAGGCATTTGCGAAGGTTTGGAGTCAGCCTGTCCAGTTTTGGGGAATCTGGGAAGGAATATCGCCGTGGGGCGTTAACTACCACCGATAATCAAACACCTGTGAAACGGCGAACGCTACAACTGCTCATCGTTCCCTTACTGTAACAAGTTATGCTACCTCGCCAAATAGGACCCCTTTTTCATTCCAAAACGACTCACCCTCGTTGGGCCTTTTGTCCAAGGGGGACGTTGGACCTTACAGTGACTAATACTTGCTTGGAGATAGTTGAGGAGGGAGGTGAGTCTATAGAGGTGCGGTGGACACGCACCAGGTTTGAAAAGTTGAAGGTCTGAGACACAGGGTTGGTTGACGTTACTTACTTTGGGTGGGCCCTCTCTCTTTGAAGTCTTATCTGAATGCGGTCTACGTACTCGTCGTAAAAACTTAAAAGTTCACGCGAAAACGCAATTCCGCGTTTTTTATCGTTTTTTCGTTATTAAGTCGATTTGAGTTGAGTTTCTTCTAATTTGATTGATTCAGCTCATCAAAGTCTGTAGGAAGCGTGCTTGGCATCATGATTGAGGATCCTCGTGTGGGACAGGTAAACGGACAAGTTGTTAACCCAAGGAAGTTGCACAAATGTCATTGTGTATTGTAAGTAACAGTCCTTGAGAGCTATTTCTCACAGTTTCGATTCGTTTAGCTTCTTTCGTTCGCTATTATGTATGTCATCTCCGATGCAATTTGTGTTCTTTGTTCAAATAGGTTTGCGAACTTTATAATTATAGCCACGAATGGATTGTCACTTTTATCGGTCTCTAATTTCTGAGTTTTGTCACTTATATGGCCTTAACCCGTTTCGACTAGGTGGACCTCGGCTGAGTTGACGGACCTACTAAGCTGGTATCCGGAGCCGCATTTCACTCTACCCTCGCGACTTGCAGTGTTGGCGGGCCACTGCTCTTCGAAGCCGAGTGTTCCACCTCTCCACCTCTCCCCTGCCTTCCCATCTCGATGCTATTTTACGATTTTTTATGATTTATTTATTTATCTTGTTCATTATATCGGCTACCTGTTACATAACTGTGTTCTGTGTTTTGTTAATATTAATCACCGATAATAAATCATAATCATAAAAAGTTGTTCTAAAGAAAATAACTAAGCTAGTTGTGATTGGCGTTGCTTCAGAAAAAAATGCTATCTAGGTTTTTGGCATGGATAATCAATCTACTGATTACCTAAGGATTTTTCAACGGGTACAAAAAGTTTGGTGAAGTAAAATTTGGAGGGGTGAGGGTACCTTCAGATATTTGTGAAATGTAGTGTATGGTGTATCTTTATATCACTTGAAACAAACTACCAGAAAAACAATCGCTGATTTCCGCTTTGAGAATTTTCTGTCGGCTGTGAACGTGAATTATAGGCACTGGCTGCAACTGTTGTCTCAACCTTTAGGATGCACTCGACGGCAGCTCAAAGTACCACATTTGATCAATCAAACAACTCGTATTTATTTAGTGAATTTATGACCATAATTTACTCATTACATCGTAGATTTTTCTTCACAGATTTGACAGCACCCGTTTCGTTGAGAACGTAAAATGCGCAGTCTTGGCATCACAGCAATAAGGCATTCATTCGAGGTTACACTCGTCGTGAGAAGGCACACGGAGAAGCGAATTGTTGGCTAGGACTGAAAAATAGACTGTGAGCATAATAAATAATATGATTGTAAGTCAAAAAATTCAACTTTGGAGGTTTTTTCACGATCTGCGAAACTTCAGTTCAGCTTCTCATGACAAACAGACTGGACTGGACGGGCAGTTTAGGCGGTTGAAACCCGCGCAGATCTGTGGTGCGTACCAAGTCAATAACGAGTCAAAGCAACAACCTTTGGGTCCGTACTTTGTTACTAATGGAGTGAGAAGAAGCGTGAGCCCTAGTAGAAAACGTATGAAGTGTCGCTGGAGCAAGAACTAGTCCTTGGAAAGTCAATGAGGAGTTGTTATAGGTGACAATTCTGGTCCGTCCGCCTTTTAGCCGACGCCCTTTTCTGTCGAGATGTGTGATTGGCCACATGACCACGCGCCGGTTAGTGGAGCCGTGAGGTAAGCTAGTTGAGAAAACTCGTCCGGCTCCGCCCCTTCTTGCACAAGGGGGAAGAGAGGGAATGTCATTGGCCAAGGCCCTATCGGCAGTTCGTTTTGGTTCCTTTTTCGTTTTCATTTGGTTCGGCATACACATTTTCACTGCCGAACGCTGTAATCCACCAATTTGATCTGGGATAGAGCTTGGTAAATCCCTGAGAGCGGGAAAATTCAGGAAGCGGAGAAACTCGTTATACGAGTACTTTTTGGAAAATCTGTCCAAAGGGATGAACAGGACGTGGCAAGACGAGATAAACTTACAATTCAAATGCTAAGCGGTTCGACATCACGTGGGTGACCATATTTACACATGTATATACAATTCAGAGCCCATCGAAAGGCTTCAATGCAGATCACCCCGAGCACGGACATCACCAGAATGAACACCAGAAGGCGACTGGAATGGATTAATTCGATGCGGTACAAGGAACCGTGACTACTAAAGGCAGTAAGTCACTCACAAGAGGCTGGTGAAGAACGTTCCTTCCTGACAACAATCGTATCCGCAGCAGTAGTCGCCTTCTGCACAGCCATAGGCGATTTCCGTAGGACGGGTGTCATTCGGGTAGTATACCTGAAATTTGCCGAGTAGCGACGGATACTGCAAACAGCACCCCAGTGATACTCACCCTACCAAACTGAGGATCCTGTGGGTCGATCTTGTTCACACACTGCACCGGCAGTGCTTCCGTGGGTTGCTGCAGGTCCGCGTTCCAATAGTACGAACGACTGCCAAACCTGAATTCTAAGCTGAAGCAATGAGTTCATTATGGTTCCTCTTATCTTCTTCAATCTGCGTAGATTGGGGACTGTCTATGAAGGCCAAGGCGCCTTCGTCGCCGCGCGCGAAGTATGCACTATGGGTGCGGCGCGCGATGACGTCGACGGGGCTTGTCGGGTTTTACATTGCATCTTTTGATATTGAAGGCGGAGAACAGGGTATAGAATCGCAGGGCGGCCCGGGTTGGTATGCTGGAGAGTGGGGGGGGGCTGGGTGGCTGGGTAGGTGGAAAACTAATACTGTGGCATTTGTGCAAGGGACAAAAGATGAGGTATGAAACCGATCCACCATAATATGACGCAAGATGCGGTAGAACTGGGAATGGGGAGGAGCGAGGTGTAATTATGTGTAAGAGCGTTTACCTCAATGCCAGCCTTGGACGCCTACTGTCCCCAACTTTACGTAAGAGCTCTTCTTAGGTTTTCAGCGCTGAAAATCCCAATTGGCGCCTAACCCTTCCTGCACTTTCTGGATTTGTTCACCCACCCGCGCAGGGGAGGGTTACGACCAGTTTCTGACGCGAACACCGTTTTCATAGCGTCACCATCGATAGGGACATCGTTACGATGAGACTTTTTGATGGGCAATTATCTTTCGATTGACTAGAAACTTGATCGATCTGCGAAAGGAAAATTCTCACACCTGTGGCATGGCTCAAAATTTTGGCTAACCAAATGGAATACAGGAAAGGCTGTGGAAGCACACTCAACGCTGCAAGAGAAGAATCGCAGATAACAAGCGAGATAATGGCGCTATTGCACGATACGGGGCATCTTCTATGACCTACCCCAGAAGGGCGGGGACTTCGGGCAAAGTGAAGTTTACTCGCGCATCCTGGATTCTCTCATCGACTGAGGCTTGGTTTATTTT